TGTAAAATGACATTGCGCATGCACCAGGAACTTCTGTTTGAACAAACCTGACCTGCTGTCCAGGTCAGTGATTTTCAAAAGGTTGCAACACTAACAGTAGTCTAAATTAATGTGATGAAAGTGAAAGCATATACTGATGGCTGAGAGTGATACCTCATATCTACAAAATTCATATTGCAGTAAGAACTTGTGACTACTATATTATTACATTAAAAAATTAAATGTGCAGAGTTTTATGCCATCCACATACTGTATATGAGATGAGATGTGCATTCTGTTGTATGTGATGTTACATATGAATTTAGTCTTTAAAAGTGGGTTTAAGGCTAGAAAATACCAAAGTGGACTTAAGGAATCTCCCTGGAAAATGTCTTTCCTTATTAGTGTTTCATTTTTTTTTTTTTTGATGTATGTGTTGTGAAGCCTTAGATGTAGTGTTGTTTTTCAGTGCTTCATTGTTTTTCTAGCTATTTTATGAGTGTTAGATCTATTTTGTTTAGATATCCTCATGATTATTAAATATATTATATGGAATGCTGTTGAATTCCTTCCTGTAATCTAAGTTGTGTGCTATGTGTAAGTTTATATGATATTTGTGCACTTATCATAGAATGATTGAATTTATGAATAACTGTTCTTTGCAACTCATATGGTTTCTGCAACAGCCTTTTTGTTGTTCAGTGAGAATGGTATATTGCAGGGCTGTGGAGTTGGAGTCGGAGTCGTGCAGTTTTGGTGTTTTGGCCGGAGTTGGAGTCGTCAAAAAATCCGCCGACTCCGACTCCCTTTTTACTTACCAACTTGTTATGTATATGAAACGGAGTCGGAGTCAGCTGGTAAGGAAAAGTCGGAGTTGGAGTCGGTAGATTTTTACGCGACTCCACAGCCCTGGTATATTGTTCATTCAGATGGTGTATGTTGTTCGTGATGCATGAAATGAGTATTTCCTAAAATGTAAGAAGACATGTTAATATATAGGTCTGTAGAGTTGTATTTGGGTTTTGTGTGGGTTTTGGGTTGGCCTTTGAAAGAATTTAGGTATATCTTGTGAATTGTTGACTGTGTGTATAAAATGCTTGGCTAGTTTTTGATGTAGTGACAAATATTTTTGTACCAGAAATTGTGAATGTTATCTTCTGTAAAAAGTGCTTTCCAACTGTGTAGTTTTTGTACTGTATTTTGGATTTTGTGTATGTTTATTTCAACACAGGGTATGATTGTTGTCTTGTGCATATTTTTCTTTTTCTTCCTTGATTCAGCTTGCTTCATTTTTGTATGGGATTGAATTGGACCAAAATTGATTAGACACTACTTGTGGATCATTCTTTGCTTCATTTCTCCCCATAGATCTTACTGGCATAGATAACCCTACAGAAACTTTTGCTCCTGCTGACATTGTTCTATGGTTTGAAACTACTAAGCTTACCCACCTTGACAAAGTAGTGACTAGCAAGAATAGTATTTTTATTCAATATGATTATCAAAGCACATTTTAAATAAGTATATATAACTTTTTAAATATCAGAAAATATGTATTTTTAAATATTCTGTAAGATTTTAACGGTTTAATTTTCTAATATACTGTGTAAGTGATATTTCTTTCTAATGTGTTTAGTTTTATTTTTTATTTATTTCTATAAACTGCATTTATAAATAAGAATTAATATTAGTGTTTAAATTCACAATAATTTAATTCAAATAATGTAAAGTATATTATATCTGGAAAGTTATTATACATGTTTAAACTGAACTGTCTTTATATAAATAAATATTAACAATAATAACATAAAATGTTGAAAACAAAATAATTTATTAGAAACAGATAAAATATTTTAACTTTTCAGTTGTTTTATTTAAATTAATAAAATTAGTAAATCAGAAATAAAAATATATATAGCCTTATTTTTATTTCTGAACATCAATTTACCTTTAAATATCAAATCATTTTAAAGACAACACTTGAAAATGAATTGTGATTGCATAAATTTAAAAAATTATATCTCATTTCTAATGATAAGATTGCCCTTTCTATATTGCATAAAGTAAAAATTCCAAATGTTATATACAATTCATTAAGTTTTAGTTGTAAAAATCATTTTGTAATAGATTCATTAAAATTTGACAAATGTTTAATCAATATATACTAATATAAAATAATCGAAGGTAAAGAATAAATTAATTCTCAAAAAATTGAATACTGGTATTCAATTTTTCACCTGATGATGATAGCTTTAAGCTATTCGAAAGTGCTTGTGAACTCTTTTATTTGCTAAAGGTCACCGTTCATAACGCCACAACACGCTAGCGAAATTACTTTATAAAGTTAAATGTTGGTGTGAAGTGTACTTTTCTTTTATTAATTCTCAAAAAAATGTACCAAAAAGAAAACATTTCAAAAATATTGTTTTATTATATAATATAAATTTTAAAATCCTCAATATTTTAAAATGTTTTTTAAAAGATGAGAAAAACAACTTTTTGAAAATATATTATACAAATTATGATTCTTAAAAACTGCTATTTTTGCAATATATATATATATATATATTACCTTTACTTCCAAATATTAAATTAATTTAATACATATTACATTTTATAGTTAATTTGGAATTTTTTAATTCATAATTTAAAAAAATTTTTAACAATATATTTTAATTTTTAAAATACTGTATTCTAAATAATTTAGAATACAGTATTTTAACTATATATAAACTATGAAACATTTTGAAAATTTTAAAATGATTGTTGAACTGTATCAATACTAATTATTATTATAATTTTTTTAACTTTGAATTAGTAATAGTTTATGCCAGAATTCACTTATATATTTCAAATTTACCATACAATTTTAAATTGAATAATGTATCATTTATTCTACACTTGAATGTTGTATTATTATTTAAAAATTTTTTGCTTTCCTTATTATCTTAACCAGGGCTGTGGAGTCGGAGTCGTGGAGTTTTGGTGTTTTAGCCGGAGTCGGAGTCGTCAAAAAATCCACTGACTTCAACTCCCTTTTACTTACCAACTTGTTATGTATATGAAACGGAGTTGGAGTTGGAGTCGGTAGATTTTTACGAAACTCCACAGCCCTGATCTTAACATTTAAATTAAATGACAAATAGGAACTCTATATACTTAGTAACATTATATATCCAAATAATAATTTATAGTAGTATTTTGATATTATAAAACAAAAAGTGAAGAATAAAAATAATGAAATGTGAATATAATTAAATTTTCTAAAGATTAGAGATTACAGAAATTTTAATAATTGTCAGTATTAAATGAAATGTGTATTGAAAATAAAATTTAATAAAAACAGACTTAAAAGATTATTTAATTATAAAATATATTGAAATATTATGATATGTATATATATATTTCAAACAGTTTTTTCTGGAGTTTTAATGTTTTTATAAATTAAAAATATACAGTACTGTAGTAATGGATTTTATTAACAAAATGCATTTTGATGAAACAAATAAATAAAGTATATTTATCTGTTGATTTTTTCTTATTTATTAAAAATCATATGTTCCTTTGAATTCAAAATTTGTAAATTCCAGCTCCAATAGTGTATGGTATGGTATAGTTGTGATTAAAAAGCTCATAGTTGGATTTCAGAATCATACCAGTGGTCCAGTGCTTGATGATTACTATAGAGATTAGACATTTGACAGATTCCTTTGATGTTCTTTGCTCTTTGTCTTTGTCTAGCATGCTTACTTTTAAAAAAAATTAGAGTAAATTCTAAAATCATATTATTAATATATATCAGTGGAAGAAGCTGTTGTGCAAATTTAAATCAATTCTATTCTTTAATGTAGTGATTTTAAAAATTAATAAGAGATTGTCTGTTTAATTACATTTTACAGTTTAAACAAAACCTTTATAACTTATTTAATTCAAATAATTTTAGTGGAACCATATCATTGACAAAAAATATATTAATGAAGAAAATTGTATAAGCATACTTAAGCTGATAACAAGTCTAAATATCTTTCAATCTTTTAACTTCTCTATTATTACCTGTGTTATTATTATTATCAATATTTGTGTTTTTCTGTAAAGGCTTGTTATGTTAGAAAAATTAATTATTACAAATTAATTGTTTCCATTTATAAATTTGAAGATCAGTATCAATACAACAACAACCCAAATATATCAGGTTATTGTTTACTATGTATATACTGTATATCATGCTGGCAACATGCATTAAAGCAGTGTTTCTCAACATGGGTGATATCGCCCCATGTGGGCGTTTTTTCTATGTTGAGGGGGCTACGAGTAACAATTTATATTTTGGGGGAGCGAAAAACAATTTTCTGGGTGATATAGTAAAACATTATATTAAGAATAATTAGATATTTTATTCGTTATATCTTACAATAATTAAACAAATAACATTATACTAGTCACTAGTCTAATCAATGAAGTACGAATTTGGCATTAGCCTTGGCCCTTGGCATCGGAATTTTGAACTGAAGGAGTGATACTACGTAACAGTTTTATTGAAGGGGGCGACGATTTTTTAGAGGTTGAGAAACACTGCATTAAAGCATAAGTTGGCTGAGAGCCATAGAGGACACAATATGCCATCCTCAGTCTGTATGGTTATATCTAAATTAATAGTTCTGAAAGTGAATCAGATGGCGGTCTGGATAGTGTAACTGGCAATGCATCTATAGGATAAGCAGGAGTTGCGAGTTTGAGTTTCACTCTAGACCAAGTCTTTACTTCCAAAATGTTCCAAGTTTAAAATTAATTGCACTCTAATTTTAAATTTATGAAGAGATAGTAGCCTAACTGTCTACCTATAGCCAAGTTAATATGTTATCTAATTAGTAATTGCCTTAATATAGTGGTAGATGATCTAGTAGATCATTTGGTAAGATTAATACTAAAATAGAGTTCGATGATTCAGAATATATTTTTACTAAATAATTTGTTTTTCATAGTAATAGTTTTACTATAAAGTTAATTTTTTTATTTAATAGTACGGCAAGCAAAGAATCTTATTCCAATGGATCCAAATGGATTATCTGATCCTTATGTCAAATTGAAATTGATCCCTGGTAATGGAGATTCAGCAAAAAAGAAAACAAAGACTATCAAAGCTTGTCTAAATCCACAATGGATGGAAACACTTATTTTGTAAGTAACATTTTGGCAGATAAATAAATGCAATTATATTAATTTTGTTTTTATTAATTTGAGGAATGATTTAATATTTTTCATTTCTTAAGAGATTTAAAGCCCGAAGATAAAGATCGAAGGCTTTTAATTGAAGTTTGGGATTGGGACAGAACCTCTAGAAATGATTTTATGGGTTCTCTCTCATTTGGAATTTCTGAAATTATGAAAAATCCTACTCAGGGGTGGTATAAATTATTAACTGCTGAAGAAGGAGAATTTTATAATGTGCCTGTTCCGTCTGATGGTAGTGATATTGCAGAATTTCAGAAGCAAATGAAAGTAAGAAAAATAAATTACTGGTATTTGATTCTTTAAACTTTAATTTTTGCTTTGTTTTAGATTTTACTCATTTATCTATTTAAATAATCAGAAATAATTGCTGTAAATCTTTAGTTGAATAATTAATCAAATTAATTATAATTTATATCATTTGAGAGTTTTTTCAAAAATTGATAATTATGCAATCGTACATAATTAATGCTTAAACTTATCATCTTTTAACTGCATATAAACCAAGTCTGATAGTAATAAACAAATAAACTGTTGAATTTTAATTGGGCTACAACATAATTAATGAATTATAAATATATTACACAATTTGGACAAAAAAGTAGGTGGTTTAGCCACTATCTACTTTTTAGTGCAAATTTTTTAATATCTTTTTAATTAATTAGCAATATCATATTATAGCCTTACTTAAAATCTAATGATATCATTTGTTTATTATCATCCATAACTCAATAATTAGAAATTTAGATTGGCATAACTGATATATATTTTTGCTATTAATTAGCAAGATTTGGAAAGAAACATATTCATCTTGGTTGCGTCTTGTTCTCTATTATAAAAAAGGTTGTTTTATTGGTGTGAATGGATATGCATATCCGTTCACACCAATAAAACAACCTTTTTCCTCTGAAAATGTTACTGTGTGATATGTTTTCAATGGCAACATTGTGCTAAGAAAATACAAATAAGCATATTCATAGTTTCAAATTTACATACCATGAATTTTCTTGTTTGTTGGAATTTGTTTCTAAATTCTGAAATTTTATTAAATTGTAATAGTTCAAAAATATATAATTGAAAGCTCTTAACTTGTAATTTTGAAAAAAGCTGAGTTCATGGCCAAGAAAAGCTGAAAGCCAAAACTTTAATTGAAATGTGATGGTTTTGAAATTTGATTGCATTCTCTAGTGTATGGGGTACAGAAATGATAATCTTATTTAACAATTTATTTTATTTTATTACAATCATGTTTTGTACTTTCAATCATTTTGCACTCATTACACAAGAACATCAAGAGGAGAAGAGCTGGGGATTTTTCCCTGGACCAGAGAAAACTTACGGACATGTGGTGATTCCTACCCTGTATAAAATTAATGTTTTTGTTTTACTAACAGAAAATAAAATCTTTAAGACTTCTATTTATTAATAAAGAAACACACTCTGTATTTCATTTGTTCAAAAACTAGAGGTCTTACTAAGATGCAAAAGGGACCTGCTCTACTCCAGGCCCCATACAAGCTCTTGATGGCCCTGCTCACATAGTAGTGTAGAATTGCAATTTCCAAATATAGGGTCCCAACCATAGAGAGGATTACCAATTCTTATATGATTGTGTAGAGATATTTGCTTAAAAAATTTTAAGCAGAGGAATAATGTTTATGAAAAAGTCTCTAAAAATATCTATCAATTGAGTGTTGTCTATATTTTTTATCAATCACAATCAACAAAAAGCTAGTGGATTTGTGTGTGTTTATTAACAGTGTCATAATTAATATATGAAAAAGAAATAATTACCAGTATTCAAAAACAATTGAAAAGAAAGCAAATATGTTGCAGAATTTTTAAAATATGGATTTTCCTATAAGAAAATTAATGATGAGCTTATGATGAGCCTTATGTATGTATTTTTTTTATATAATTTGTAGTAAAACTTGTTTTTGCAGCTTCAAGCTCTTAAAGACATTTGGAAACAAATCATTAATGTATGTTCAAAATGCTATTATATTTTTTGAAAGAAAACCATCCAACTCCTTCAAATAATTTGAAAAAAAAAATTTATTATTAAAATCAAGTAAAAAATGAAACAATGCTTTTAAGATTAATAATTGGAAGAATTGGTAAAAAAAAAAGGTGGACAAATGCTAAACATAACATGTATTCAGATAGCATTCTTGAAAAGCTAATTGTCCTCACAAAACATGGATGGTTGAGAACTGTGATAATGATATCATTATTAATTCAATTAGTTATAATTTATTAAATAATTATATATTTATTTACAAAAATGTAGTAATAAATATTATTTTTTATATTTATAGTCCCGATTATCAGTTGAATCTAAAAAAATAGAAAGAGTTACAGCTACTACTGATATTCCTCATAATATGAGTAAGCAAGATATTATAAGAGCATCTGATTTTAATTTTATTATGGTTCTTGGCAAAGGGAGTTTTGGTAAGGTAAATATTTTAAAATTATAAAAATTTATTTAATATTTATTGTGTTTTAAATAATAATTATAAAAATTATTACATATATTTATTTAGGTAATGTTAGCAGAAAGGAAAGGAACAGATGATTTGTATGCAATTAAAATTCTAAAAAAAGATGTTATCATTCAAGATGATGATGTGGAATGTGCCATGGTAGAAAAGAGAGTTCTAGCATTGGCCAACAAGCCTCCATTTTTAGTTCAGCTTCATTCCTGCTTTCAAACAATGGTAATTTATAAATTTATAAATAAAATTAATTATTAATTAATTTTAGAACAGATCAAATTTCCATTCTGTTTAAGATGATGATATTAAAATGTTAAAAGCAAAAGACATATTTTGATCATTTATACTGGTACTAATTTAAAATTTTACAGGATCGTCTTTATTTTGTAATGGAATATGTTAATGGAGGAGATCTGATGTTTCAAATTCAACAAACAGGAAAATTTAAAGAACCTGTTGCTGTGTATGTATTATTTTANGCAATGATTTTTTTTTTTTTTTTTTTTCTTTTCTTTTAGATTTCATTTGCTAATTGTTCAGAGTTTTTAAAAAAAAAATGATTATATAAAATCAATAAATGATTGTCTTAATTAAATATAACTGATTTTCTGTAACATAATTTGTTTTGAATTTACTGAGTTTTAGTAATAGTTGATGATAATATTTCATCAAAAATCAACTTATTTATAAATATATCTGCTGATTCGTAAGAGGAAAAAATCTAAACTTATATGAAATTGACAAATTTTAAATTAAAATAAAGACAAATTAAAGTTAGTTCATTTATTGTACATTTTTTGATTTAGCAGTTTTAGAAATATCGATAAACAATAAAATGCAATTGACAGTTACAAACTTTAAACTTAAAAATACAAATTAACATAACTAACATAAAAACTTTTTATATAATCATTATTATTTATTATCATAATCATTCTTTTTTTAATGAAGTTAATATGATGATATTTATTTTAAATTAATTTTAATAGCAATTCTAAAATAAGTACAATGTTTTTTTTTTCTTTTAATAAAGTTAAATAATATATTTTTGTAAATATTAAGGTGAAACATAAAACTTATATCTCCTCATTAATATATTTCATATTCATGATTACACACATTATTGAATACATTTTCTAAATGAAATAGTTTAGATATTTATTACCGAACTTTATGTTTTTAACTTTTTAAATCTTTTTTATAAATTAATAAGTATTAAATTTACTAACCAAAAAGTAAAAAAGCATTCTAAATGAATTTGTTATTAAATGCTTTTTGGAGATGGGTACTTGTGATTGAAAATGTTAAAATGTGCTTGTTTTTAATTTGAGAGCATCTACTTTATTGGTATTATCAGCACCACAACACCTTTCTCACACTTTCAGCAATAAGTGTTTTTTATTATCCTGAACGTTTTCAGTCTCTTTCAGAGGCCTGCTTCAAGTTACAATTTGTTTTTGTAGTATTTTGAATGTTGGTCAAGTTTGTTTTTTTAAAGTTTAAAATGTTAATGAAGTACAACAAAAAAGAACTGTAATCTGAAACAGGTTTTTAAAAGAGACCAAAAATGTTCAGATTTAGCAATAAGTATTTTTTTTTATTAACGTGTGAGAAAGGTGTGGTGGTATTAATTATTATGTTCCAGCTGCCATAAAATGACATTTTGGAATTATCAGTCTTGATCATATTCTGATTGAAAGACAGATAATAAAAAAGAATTGCTTTATTACTTGTATGTTTTTTAATTATTAAAGATTTTTTCCTTGCTGTTTTATTAGTCTATTTTTATAAACATTATCTTTGAATTTATTGAAATTTATGTAAATTTCTTACTTTTGAATAGAATGAAATGTTTTATTGTATGTATATTAGCTATACTTCAATTAGACAAATGATGGCTGTTTCAAGCTGTTGTATTAATTAAATCCAAATTGAGGAGAAATTGAGTAAATATTAATTAATTCAAGTTTTTGTAATCAATAAGATGACTAACACGCCAAATTAATATATAATAACAAAAGTAAAAACACTGAGTTCAGCGTTACATGCATACGTTTTTTTATCACAAGCGCTTTCAACGAACTTATAGTCGTCGTCCTCAGGGGAATACAGATATTTACCGAAAAATTTTAAACAGAAATCATCGAATGCAGAATAGAACGCATAAAATAAAATTTCTGTTTAAAATTTTTCGGTAAATATCTGTATTTGCCTGAGGACGACGACTATAAGTTCGTTGAAAGTGCTTGCGATAAAAAAACGTATGCATGTAACGCTGAACTCAGTGTTTTTACTTTTGTTATTAAATTCAACTTTTTTAATGCAAAATACATCTCTTAAAAATTACAATAGATATTTTAATTAAAATAATACTATAACAATCTAGTAGTCAATATTGAAATTATTCAGTATCAACTTTTAGATAAGAATTGATCATATATTGATTAAAGTTGATCATTATGCTATTAGGATTTTGTATTGAATCAGTTATTGTGTATTTTAATTATCAACACATACAAACAAAGAACTGATTTAAATTGTAGAACAGTTTTTGGTAAAAAAGTATTCTTTGCATTTAACCTCATTTAATTTTGTTCTTCAAACTGAAATTTACTCTTAAGATGAAATTTATGAAAATACAGTGGTGCCTTGTATAACGTACGCCTAGAAAAATGGATGCTGTGAACAATGGACTTTCTGTTTGGCCATTACGTGACTCGAGCAACAGACTGGCTGCGAACAATGGACTTTCCGTTTGGCAGTTAAGTGAGGCGAACAACGGACTTTCTGCAAACAAGTGCGAATGATGTTTCCACTCTTTTGCCGTTGCCAATGACAATCTGCTATTTTTATAATATATTAGTATTATTAGAATATATTATTAGTATATCTGAAGTACAGAGCTCTTGTTGGGATTTGGCTTGCTCCCTTGTTTATTATGTACACCACCTCAGTGCAGGGTATTTACATTTATTCAAGTGTTGTTCAAATCATGGCTTCTAAAAAAACAGAAAGGTGATTTCAATTGAAACAAAGCAAGAAATCATCAGAAGGAGTGAAAGTTGACAAAAACTTTCTTGTCAAATGGGGAGAGGTTCAGGAGTTTACCAACACTCATTATCCAAACAGAGCTGAGGCCAACAGGATCAATGATCTCTACAATGACACCCTTGACCGTCATTTCCGACAAGTGTTGAAGAACAGAGAGAAACAGACCACCTTGGACATGTTTTTCAAGAAGTCAACTGCCAAGAAACAAAGGATGAAACAAGAGGAGTTGACCCTGCAAGCCCCTGTAGCCTCTCCTGAATCTGACTCCGATTAAAAAACAATAAAAAGAGACCTGCTGCAATGTGTAAAAAGTCTGTATCTGTATGAATGTGTGAAGAAAGTGTTCCTCCACCTCCTCCTCACAACATATGACTATCCAGCATAATTGGTGACTGCTCCATTTTCATTTTTTTTTATGGTACAGTATGGTTATTTTATGCTGCGGAATGAATTATATGTTTTAACATGTATTTCTATGGGAAAATGCGTTTCATATAACGGACTTTTCACTTAACAGACATGCACCTGGAACGGATTAAGTACATTATATGAGGCACCACTGTATTTCCATTTGATTTTATGTTCAAATTTTATATTCATGAATGATTTTGGAAGATCCAGCTTATTTAGTATTAAGGAAAGCCTGAGGAAGAACCCAGAAGAGGTTTTGAAAATGTTTGTTATTCAAGAGTTAATTGTAATTTGCACCAGTTATTGGTTGTAGTGAGTCTTATTTTATATACATCCCAGTGTGGTTTGCAGATATATATTTCCATCATTCATTTACAGTAACAATGCATAACAACATCAACATTGTTACTACTGTGCTAACATAGTAACACAGCATTATTTTGTGTTGTCAGACAAGATCTAAAAAAAAAAAAAAAAATGCTATTACAGTAGCTACTATGCTAACACAATAGCAACTGTGCATACTCATACTGTGTATTCATGAAATTTGATCATTCATTCGATTACAAGATTGGAACTTAATTGTTCTATTACTGAATGTGAGATACATATTTCATAGCATTTTCAATTTAAAAAATCAGTCCTAAAACTTCTAAAACATATCTTATAATTTGATATACACATATGAGATATATCACATGATAAATATTTCAGACTAGTTTTCATTAAAACAAATTAATAATTTAAATATTCCTTATTAGTTTTTACACAGACAAGATCTCAAGGAAAATGCTATTAATATGAATATAAATTTATGTAGATGACTGTCATGCATGATTAATCAAAAATAAGAAAAGATAAATGTAACAAAATATATATTTNCCCTTATAGCTATCGAGACGCAACCACCATAGTGCACGAATGGAGACTTGGGGCTACTACCACATACAAACACCATTCATGTGCGATGTGTAGTTTTGGCTGAAAAGTGAAATATAGGGACACACACGTCCATTTTTATATATATATAGATGTAGTGATAAATGTTTGAATCAAGAATTAACAATATAAAGTTAAAAAAAAAAAAGGAAAAATAAAACAATTTCTTTTGAATTTGATCATCTGTTTAAAAAATTTTTATACATTTTATGCAAATTTAGGTTGATAAATTAGATTATTACTATCTGACATGATATCATTATAATTTCCTATTAATTTATAATTTGATGTATTTAATTAAATTCTTAAATTAACAAGAATTTAGTTATATTTATAAATATAATTTATATATAATGGAGTTTATAATAATTGAATTTATAATTCAAATATTATAAATTCTATATTTGAATCAAATATGTGAATTGTAATGTACAAAAAATAGAAAAAAATGATCAAATTTGAATTATTTAGAAAAATATTAGCATTTATTTCGAATATTTTTAAATATCAGTATGAAGTCTATTCTCAATTATTATAAAATAAACAAATAAAATAGAAAAATTAAATATTTTAAAAATTACTTAATTTTTAAAATATTTATGTTATGTTAAGAAAAACGTAGTTGAGGAAACTGGTTAATGAAGATTAATTGTTGTATTGTATTTATTAATTTCAATTTGGTATTCAAACTTTTCATAAAGTTTTCCTAATTCTATTTATAACTTATATTTTTCTGAAAATTACTTAAATATTTATACATGTATTCTATACTTCATGAATTAGTTAGAACTATATATATTTAAAAGTTGTTCTTTGCATATTTTATGAAAGTTTTTCTGTACTGTGATCAATTTTGCATTGCATTCAAGACATTTCAAAATAAAATTTTTATCAACTTCTTTAAATTTAAAGTTATCACTATTCTAATCAACATTGGTTCCTGAAGACGGCATGAACATTGCTAGCACTTTCATGAGATACCTGGATTAATAGGACATAAAAATTTATACAGGAATGAATAATTAATAAATTTCTACTGCCATTATATATGAATACCTATGATTATAGTTTTTTTAATACTGTTGGATTAATGTAATAAATGAATATAACTTTAAATATTAAAAATCTAATTGTAAAAAATTTGGTTTGCTTTATATTGGGCTAGTTAGATTTAGAAATAAGTGCATCATAAATGGTTCATTTCTACATCAGACTCTAATCAAATGCCAGAAAATTTGTATTTACTTATAAATTTTATATCATTAAATGCTCAGAACTAAATATATTTAGTAACATCAAAAACATAAAAGAAAATTAAATTTAGGAGTAATATAAATTTGATACCTTTTCAAGTTTATTAAGAAATCAAGCCAATTATTGTGCTTCTCTGTAATATTGATAGAAAGAATGATTTTCTTGAACTATGTAAAGAGCCTGTAGCTATTCAAATTAATTTAATCTCATTAATGAGCTTTATTAACAAATTACTTGTAATTTGTTAATAATACTTCATACTTAATGTTTGTTAATAATAAGTATAAAACTTCATACCAATGAAAATCCATAAATTGTTGAAATACTTTTGATTTTTTTCAAAAAATTAATATTTACAACAATTTATGCATTTATAAGGAATACTTGCTGTACCTTATGTATGCTGTGTGCAAGAAGTTTTGATGCACCCCAGGCTTGCTAATCAATGTATAAATAGTGTAAATTTTACACCCATTTTCTCTAAACATCCTCGTGTGGCTGCACAGTTTGATTATACTCAGAACCACCATTGGATTATATGCTAAATAAATTTATAATGAAATCAAGTAATGTAAATAAGAAATGGTAGCTACATCAATCAACAGAATAAACTTATATTTCTTTATTATTATGTATAGATTTTTAATTGAAACACCTGATTATACTACATTGTACATTACTTGGAAATTGGAAGATAGATTGTTAGTTAAATAATGCTGTTTTAGTTTTCATTTTGTTTTAAAACTGATTAAACATGATAATTTAGTCCTACAATTCAAATGATAAAATAAATAAATATTAGCAAATATCAATATTACAAATGAGTATTTATTCTGATCTTAAATCTGAAAGCTGAATGATTACTTTATATAAATATTTGTTTCATCACATTTACATTATGTATTTATTTAATGTATATAAGTAATTGATGGTAATAAATTTTTTCAATTATGTTATTGCTTTGCTTGAACTTTGGATATTGAATAATTTTAATACAAAAAAATACATTATATTTTATATCAAATGCCACATTTTCTATCAAAATGATTTTATGTAAGCCTTTAAAAAAATAATTTAATTTAATTGAAATATCGAATCTTCATAAACAGTTTACATTGAGTGAAAATAATAGAAAAATTATCAAAAACATATAAAACTAAGCTAATTGCATGTTATATTTTAAATGATTGGATGATTTTTATTTGGTATTTTTTACAACATCGATTTCTTTCTTTTCTTTATCTATTTTTAATCAGAATAAAAAATTTTTTCAAATGTTAGTATTTCTAATTTTTGATTTCAGAATATTAGAAATTTCAAAGTTATCAATGATCTTAAGAGGAATTATTACAGATATTTTGTCTTTAAGTGTAAAGTAAGATCATTTATTATTATTTTTTTAAAAGCAAATTTTTGTTTTCTTTCCTGGAAAATGTTTGGTTTGGTTTTATGGTAAAATTTCTGGAATTGGCATCAGTTCATATTTTATTATTTTTGAGATATCTCTTTATTTTTTTACTAAAATAATAAATACAGTCAACCCCCTATAACACTGTTGATAATTCTGTTTTATATGAATTCCATGTTGTACAAGTTACTTAGATTTTACAATACATGTGCCTGGCTGTGAACGGCTCTCGTATTTGTAAAATCGAAATGACTCGTACAACATGGAATTCATATAAAACGGAATTATCAACAGTGTTATAGGGGGGTCGACTGGTATATTTAAATTATTAAATCTTATTTTTGATAAGTTATTTTCCTATGATTATTATTTCCATTTTCTGTCCTGTTTTGTTAATGTAAATTAATATTAACAAAACAGATTCAAATATAAAAGCCAGATAATTTAAGTTTCTTATAATAAGAACATTTTTAAATTTTGATTTACTCTTTATTAACCTAAACTTCTATTGTTTATTTGTTTAACACTACAGCTTTTAAGGATTATTTTTTTTAAAGAACCCTGAACATTTTTAAATTTTGATAAGGAAAAATTATCATAAAGTACATTAATAATAAACACTAATTTTTTTAAAGTTGAAGGTTATCATCTTTATTCACAGCTGCAAACTTTCTTGATTTGGTGAGATTTTCTTGCTCTTTTCTCTCTAACATATTGTCATTTTTCTGTAAATTTTTACAAAAGTTTCCTTATTTGAGAAAATTTTGTGATATTAAAACTTATTTTAATCATATTTCAAATTTAATCACTAAATAGATAATATTGTTTGTGCAAAAATGCAAANATTAATGTTTTAATGCTTCTAAAAATATTTCAATATAATTTAAGTTTTAATCATTATTTTTTTTATTCAAAAATAAACAGAAAGTATATTAAATTTACCAAGTATTAAATATTGAAAAAAATATAAAATTATATATCATTCAATTTTTGTAGAATAGAGATTTTATTGCAATGCTACTAAAACTATAAATAATGCTTTTATATATATGTGTGTATCTATAATAAATTAATTATTTTTAGTGCATTTATATTGCGTATTCTTGAAATTTCTGTAATGTGTTATTTAAATATTATAGAAATCTGTATTTATCTTTCATCTAAAGAACCTACTAAAATATATTTTGACAAACTATAATGAATGTAAAATACCCGATCCTAATTATATACCTGGCTAGATGCCTTCAGACTTGCGGCATATCAAATAATCAACAGTATTTAACGGAGGCTGTTCAATAATTTGGTTTTGTATGCGAATATAAATAGTCGTTACAAATATATAAATTTAATATTGTAATTTAATCTATTATTATTATTAAATAATAAAATAAATCTGAACTATTTTAAAACATTTTATTTTAAATTCTTCTAATTAATTTTAATTATGTTGCATATTTTTATCATGTTTTAAGACATTTATGATTCAAGGCTGAAAAAACATTGAATGTGAATAATTACTGTATATAATTTTTAATGAGATTATTATAGTTTAAAAATATTTTAGTAGATTTTTATTTTCAGAAAAATTCTATTTAGTAAATGATTTTAAATGATGATTGTGTTTTTTTGTGCAATTATATTTAATTTGTTAACTTTTATTTTAGATTTTATGCAGCTGAAATTGCCATAGGATTATTTTTTCTTCACAGTCGAGGTATTATATACAGGTAATAAGATGCTTTATTTTTTTGTAAACGAGTAAAAGATTTGTATTTCTTTATTTCTTAAGAATACTTTCATTTAAAATAGTTGAAGTGTGTCCAAATGGCAAAAGTATTTATGGAAGTAAATGTACATTTGCTATTATTAAATTTGAACAAATTAATAATAAAAATATTTGTGCAAAATTCATTTTAAAATATAAAAATGAACATAGAAGTTTACTGTACAGGAGTTTTTTATTTTTATGATAACTATAAAATTCTTGTTTAGAATATTAATTAAAAGAAAATTTATATTTTTATTAAAATTGTTCTATTTTAGTATTTATTACATCATCAGAATTCTAAGTATATCTAAATTCTTATATATATATATATTAAATTCTGATAGTAATTATTTGCATATACTGCATCTAATTTATATAATTAGATGTAAAAATAATGTAAAATCAGTCTTATTAATTAAATTATACTTTGTTGATATAGTTAAATTTTGGTACAGTGGTAAGTTAAATTAACACTATTTTCCAACTTGCTTATGAAGAAGTGTTGTTACCAACAGAAAGAAATTGATATTAAATAAAACAGCTGACATTCATAATAACACATTCCTTACATTTCATAAACTTACATTCCTTTATGCTCTCATTTTTGGCTATGCTGATGATTGTATAACACAGTAGTGTTTTTGCTTTCTAAAACACTCTTGCCACTTCGGTTAATTGGAATTATGAGTGTAGAAATTCAGCTTACAATGATTAGATGGGTGAGGAGGCTAAAATATCTATATACTTCCGTAACAGATCTGGGTTTCAGATCCTCCAGAATTTTTTGTGGTGGTCTGGTCTGGACATGTTGAGTTCCATCTAGTGATTGCAAATTTACCGGGTATTACATTATCAGTAATTTGGTAATTATATTCGGAATTACTGGTTTATCAGTAATTTACTGGTAAATTCATATTAACAAATGATTTAAAATGAAACTGAATTACTGACAAAATTATTGAACAGCCATTTATTTTCAAGTTTTCTATCAGTTTAGACCAAGGATTGCTAAACTTTTTTGATCGTCAACCCTGTACAAGTTTTCAAAACCTCACATTGACCCTCACCAAAAAGTTTGTGTTACAAGCAAAACAAAGCACTTACTATTTTAATACATTCCTTTCGATTTTGCAGTTTTTCTTTATTTATTGTATATTTGTTAATAATAATTTTTGTAACTGACAATCAGTGAGACGGATAAGCTTGATCCTTAGCTCTCCCTTATCCTTAACTTAAGCTTGGTAATTGACCCCCAATAATGTTATATCGACCCCTGGGGATCGATATTGACCACTTTGGCAACCCCTAGTTTAGACAAACAACATTCTTGTAATAGCAATTATTGACATAACAGACATTGAAATAATGCTGATTATTAATTATGTTTTTCTTTATTTTGAATGTAGGTTCTTAAAAAAAACATTGTGATGTTTGTAAAAGTGACACTATATGGTCCGCGAACAAAAAGGTACAAAGAAAAGGCTTTACAACAATTGTATATTCACAGTCTCGTTCCTTTACTTCACTTTGAACAAAATATAAAAAGAATCCCAACTGATTTTATGATGATTTACAATCGAGCTCATCAATTTTCACAAAGGACTCTTTGTCCCAAACAAAGCACGATGACACATCTGCCCCAATAATGATGAAAGTAGAATAATAGAAGAGAATGAGAAACGAGATGATTCACCCGGGATTTCTATATGTCAGGTTGATCAACACCTTGGGTAGGATCTGCTTCTTTTATCGTGACCTCCGTCTTCAAGATCCTCTCTACTCAAATTTTCTCCAGAGCTCTTCACAACACGTCCGACATCCTTCATGTCTCGTCGAAAACAAGCCCTTCTTCCCTGGCCGCTATTTCCCAGGTCACCTTCTTTCTATTGTCTTCCCCTGATTCTTAGAACAGCTAATCCTACCCCTAGGCGAAAACGGTCTTTGGAAAGTTTTAGGAAATGAAAGAACAAAGAAAAGGCTAAGACTTACAAAAATTAAAACTTACAAATATACAATATTATGGCCAATGGCCACAACATAATACTTTTAGGCTCTCATTGTCTAATCTAGATCTAATTTTCTTACAAATGGCAGCTGTATTAGAAAAAGCTCTCATGGAATCAATACTAGTTGGATGTACTGTACTGTCATTAGAGCATTGAAAACCTTCTTAAGATTCGTTCCTGTATTTTTTGCTCTAAGAAATAATTTATTTCTTTCTTAACTATATCTTTCACACTTTTAAATTTACTTATATTACTTTTTTTTTTTTTTTTTAAACTCTTTCTGCCCTGTGGGCACTAAGAGGGCCTCTTTTAACAAGCCCATTATGGGTTCGGCCAGGTCTGCAATGGGCAGTCCGGTGGTGAGGGATGGGGCCCGACATATCCAGATGGACCACCCCTTTCTGATTCGAACCCAGGACCCCAGAGCAGTAGATTGCCACCTTGATCACTTGGCTGGATGGCCAAGTGATCAGAGTGGCAATCTACCGCTTACTTATCTAGTGATCAAGGTGGCAATCTAATCTTATTTATATTACTGTTATCAGTAATATAAGTAAGACATGTACTGTGTGGTAAACAATGAACACCTCTCACCAGAATCTGAGTCTGAACTAATTTCAGTGGCATCTACAAGTCGTGATTCATTTTCATTTTCTGATAAGTGCTTGATTATCTCTACAATTCCATTCAAAATTGTATTTTTGTTAACATTATTGGATATTTCATGTGGCTTATATTTGTTCAATTTTCCTGGGTTATTATACTCCAAAAACAAGACCCATTTTGAAGGGAATCAAGTTATAAACAGACTAGAAAATTCCTTTTAATAACCTTAAATTACAAATTGCAACATATACTGTATAAAAGCAATAACTGAAGCCCAGATTAATGAATCATAATTCCAAATTAGCAGATTTGTGCTCAGTGTTTTCTTCAAAGAATTTTCTAAATTATTAAATTAAATTCAATACTAATTTCTAATCATTTATCAAAACAAAAAGTTATGATCTATCTTTTAGGCTAAATTACATTATTTTAATTAACTAAAATTAGTATAAATGTAGGTAAAAAAATCCAACAATTTAGGTTTACACTTGTAATATAGAAAAGGAAAAAATACATAAAATATTTTTTAGGGATTTAAAATTAGATAATGTTCTTTTGGATCAAGAAGGGCATATAAAGATTGCTGATTTTGGTATGTGTAAAGAAGGAATATCAAGTGATCAAACAACAAAAACCTTCTGTGGCACTCCTGATTACATAGCTCCCGAGGTATGTGAAATTCAAAATAACAAAAATTTAATATCAAACAATAATTTAATCGATAAATATCTATGAAGATAATTCTCTATCAACCATACGGAAAATCTGTTGATTGGTGGGCTTATGGTGTCCTTTTATATGAGATGCTTGTTGGACAGGTAAATATTTTTATTTATGTTCAATTTAAAGTAATGTAAATATCTAATTATATTTTTTGTTGAAAATTTCTTTTAAATTTTGAAAATAGAGATTGTAATAAATTTCAGCCACCATTTGATGGAGAAGATGAAGAAGAACTGTTTTCAGCCATAACTGATCACAATGTCTCATATCCAAAGTCTCTTTCCAAAGAAGCTAAAGAGGCTTGTAAAGGAGTAAGTTGATTGATGTTTGTTTTTTACTTTTATTTGCAATAGTACAGTACAAAATATAATAAAAATATGATATAGTAATGATTTAATATAATGATTGTGTAAGTGATATGCTTTGTTCTCTTGAACATTCTGTTTTACATATAAGGCACAAAAAACACAACTTATCATATGCAAAGTCTTGATCATTCTCTCTTGAAAAATTTCCCATACTCTCTCCCTCTCACTCTGGCACTCCCTTGGAAATACTGACCAAGTGGTCACAGATGTAATTCACATGTGTAAGTAAACAAACATGGACCATAAATTATGCAGTAAAATATTTATTAATCAAACGTTTTGGTCCTTTTCATTGACCTTCATTAGAAAATATATACATTATGTAATTTAACAAGAAAAAAAAAGACATCTATACTCTAAAAACAGTTTTACAACATTCCATTTTTTGGACTAAGACAAATTTTTAACATATTTTAACTATGTGTAAAATATAAAACATATTTTATACATAGTGAAATAAACCATGCATAAAAAACACTCTAAATTATACTTTCCATATTTTTACTTCAGTACCTGCTGAATTAATCACTACCATGCAATCTAACTACTGTCCATCCTTCAGCATCTTACAAAGCTCACCTTTAAGTTTGATGTATAGAGAAAATGCTACAGTTTCCCCAGCCTGGAAAGTATTGCTAAATAAAACTTACTAATAAAAATATATAAAACATATTGTACAATATTCCAAGCAATGTCCTTTTCTTGTAACAACAAGCCTCAAATTCCATTTAAATGTTTAAATGTTAAAATTTTATATTATATGTAGAGTAATTTTGTTCCAAATTCCAGATGTTCTTTAGTCTAATGGAAATGATTCTGTATAATTGAAAGTACTTGTATTATTAAAAGGATTTTAATGCTGTCTGACAGTGTGTTTACATTATTTGTTATGTTCTNATTTACTATCCTTAATTAACCTTAATGTTGACAGAATGACTAGTGTCTATATCAGTGATTCTCAACCTTTTTTTTGTCACGGTACACTTTTAATAATTTAAAAATTTGGCGGAACACACAGTTACCTCGGTAAGTACCGCAGTACAACCGATGACGTCATAACAGTGATTTTTAAACGTAGTTGGTTATTTATTTACTAAGACGTTTAGAAAATGTCTAAACGTCTTAGTAACTACCGACAGTTACCGGTAACACCACTTACAATTTCCAAACGCGCCGTAGGAAGGTAGAACCGATTAAACTACTTGTCTGATGTCGCTTATGTATGCAATGGCGGCACGCTTCAAAAATCTAGCGGCACACTAAAGTGCCACGGCACAGTGGTTGAGAATCACTGGTCTATATTATTATACTTGTAGAAAAATATTTCCATTTTAAAGAGGATCAATAAAGCCACATATAAAAGTAATTAGATTAGCTGTAATAAATCAACATATTTTTAGTAATGCCGGAAAATGATTGATTTTGGTTTTGGTTAATACAATTAATTCTAGTCAATTTAAAATAATCTGGCAGTATAAAACATCATCAGTTATTATAGAACATAAAATACTGTATTGTAAAATCAACTGTAAACTGTTTCATTTGGAAATAAATTTTTATTTTCAATTTAAATGTGCAATTAATTTGTTTTCAAGATTATATTTACTTCCTATTACGTACTCAATCAGTACGAAAAAATAATAATAATTTTGTTATTATAATATAATTGTATTCCAACCACCAGAGGAAGAGAAAAAGAAATGTATTGAGATATTGGTGGAATAAAATGCAGTTCTTACCTATCAACTTGTAAATTCTTTCAAGAGCAAACATAACAAATAGTGACGAGGATGGAATTTTAATGCCTGTTCAACTGTAAGAATACCAAAGTGAAATTCAAGTAAGAAATTTTCAAAGAATTAAGGGAAAACACTTCCAAGGTACAGTTGGGTTCATTAACACTAACAAAGCCAAAATTGAAACCACGAAAAAGAATGGCAGATGAAACAAGCACTGCTTTCTGCACGAACGTTGTCTTGATAGAACTGTTTGTTCAAAGATCGCAGATCTGGAAACCTATGTGAAAAGAGTTAACTTTATATTTAGAAGCTAATAAAATCACGGACACCAGTACAAAGAGAGTTGTACTTTATAGGTCCACTGACTTTCAATGTCATGATGTCACTGGGAGCTTCACTAGATGTTTGCGACCTAAGCTAGGCAAACTTATTGAGAAGTTAACCGTTTTGAGCCAAAACTGAATGAAATGGTCCAGAGATTTCATTTTTATAAACGTGACCAAACAAAAAATGAAACCATCCCCCACAAATACTGTGGAATTAAGAAAATTATTGGGGTACTGCGAATTTGATGAATACTTGGATGTGGCTATCTGCAATCAAATAGCATGCAGAATTTACAATGAAAATCTACAACAGAAATTATTAAGCACACTTAACCTAACCTTCACCATAGCTCAAGAAAAAGCAATTGCCCATGAACTAGCAAAAGAAAAATCAAGAGAAATAAGGACTACTAGTAAGGAAAACAAAAGTGAGATAAATCTTCTTAAAACACAAGACAAAGAACAAAGGGCAAGCAGGAGATGCAAACAGGTGCATACACTAATCTTACAGGGAAGTGTTATTGTTGCGAGAAAGGCAACCATTATTATTACCATAAATTAATAGTTTGTAATGTACATATTGATAGCTAAAATCAGCAAATGTCTTAGAAAATAAATAACATATTAATCTATTTGGTATGAATGAACTGATTTAACTGGATCTTTCATGACTGACCAAGAATATGATTTGATGATACACAAATTATTTTACGTACATTATAATTTTCTAACACATTCAGAAAATTATTTAAATTTACAACAGAAATCACATGTTTTAAATTTAAACTAATGTATATTTAAGTGCAACTAACAATGTATATTATCAGATTATCAAATAATAATAGAATACAACAGATTTATTTACATTGTTTTGAAGGATTTAAAAATAAATAAATCATTTTTAATTTTGAATAATGCCTTTAATGTAATTCAATATTGTGAAAATAACGAAGCTTGTTCTTTAACAGTTTTTAACAAAAAATCCAGCCAAACGTCTGGGTTGCAGTTCTCAAGGAGAAGAAGATGTAAGAAGTCATCCATTCTTTCGCCGTATCATTTGGGAAAAAATAGAAAATCGTGAGGTTCAGCCGCCATTTATTCCAAAAATTGTAAGTTTATACATCATTTAATATTATATTTTATTTATTTTGTTCATGATTCAGTTAATGCCAAGTTGTAAAAATTGATTGTAACATAAATATCATTCCTTCAATAATTTTTGTGCTGTTTTTAAATTTTTATACTGTTTTACAATATAAAATTTATTAACATTTTTTTTTTCTTTCAAAATATTCTAGAGACATCGGAAAGATGTTAGCAATTTTGATAAACAGTTTACAAGTGAGAAGACAGATCTGACACCAACCGACAAATTATTCATGATGAACTTGGATCAAACTGAATTTATGGGATTTTCTTTCTTAAATCCAGAGTTCATCCAGCATGTTTAATTGCTGATAATTATGCACGTGATGCATATACAAACAATCATATATCACTTTTTCTCCTTGTAATATTTTACTAGTTTTTCATACATTTACAATATTATTGTTATTTATCAATTATTTACATAATTAAAATTCTTAGAATTTATTGTTGTCCAAAACATGCCAAATGGAACGAAATTATTTAATTATCTTTCTAGTCGAGTTAATTAGGTTTATGTGCAAGATTGTTATTGGAAAATGTTAAAATGTAGTCCATTATTATATACACCGAATTAAAAACATTGAATCGATAAGAAATAATGAACTATATTTTATCCAAAAGAGGAAAAAAGGCTCTAAAACAATCAAGGTAGTATTTTTATAACATAAAAGAACCTTTTTTACTGTGTTTATCCATGTGATAATTATGTATTTTAAGCTTATTTGCATGGAGAAATTTATTATAAAAAAATCTCAAATAATAAAATTGTGTTAACAATCTTGGAATAATGTTTTTTATATAACTGTTAATATTTTTTTTAATTATTGTTATTAAATTTTTTAGTTTAATTTAATTTATTTAAGTACATATTGTAGTATCCTACACTGCCAAAAGACCCATAGTTGTAACATGTATTCATATTGTAGTAAATCATTAATATAGAAATTTTTTATCAATTTCAATAATTATTCAGTAATCATATTCAATACTCAGTTGTATTTTCTGAAAAATATTTTGTTTCTTAATTTAGATTCACTTCAATATTATCCTTTATCTGAGTAATAAAGTATCTTCTATTGCTGAATTTCTAAATGTATTATCGAGTTATTTGCTAGTTAAATTAGAATTACAGTAACAATTATTATAAAACTAACCTTTCATATACTGTTATAATGTTATGCCAAGATGCATCATTGTAGTCCGTCAGATTCTTTAAGGTTTCACTCCCTGTGCTAATTTTGCTTGGATTGTCCGTGATGCTGTAAACACTACTCAGTAATATCTGTACCAATATACATTACTTATAGATGTAATTGTGTTGTTTAAGAATTATTTATGGTGATAAAAATGTGTATTATCATGTTTAGAGGAAATTCATACCTCAAACTACTATTGATGTACAGAAGTAGTCCCCCGTTTGAGTTAGGAGAGACTGAAAATGTATTAAAAAAAATGTAAACTCAGGGATGGAAGTTTGAAAATGAATATTGGTAGATGCTCAATAATTATGTCTCATTTAATGCAATCTCAACAAAATAGTAATTTATACCTTTAGTTTTAATGTTGTATATAGTAAAAAGAAGCAAAAATTTTCTTTCTTTTTCTTTTTTTTTTTTGTCTTTTTATAATGAAATTACGGTTGATTCTCTGAAATCCAGATATCTCTTAGATACATCCAGAATTTAGAATTAAATTTGTAAGCATTCTGAATTTCACTTGTAGGCATCAACATCTAATTATTTTAATAATAGTAATGTTTAAATTAATAATTATTTTTACTGTTTTTATGAATTTTATACTTAATATAAGCAGTTTTATAATATAATTCTTAAAGGTGATTTTCCTATCATAATTATTTTATTACTAAACATTCATATAGAAATTGTTTATGGGCTTCCATTATATGTTATTTTTTTATATGCAGCGTAATTAATCGTAATCAAATATACTTTGGAATTTATAGATATCTGGAATTTCGAAAATTGACCCTACAAAAAGCAATTTATTTAAAAAAAATATAAATATAAGAAAACAAGATATATATACACAATTTTAAGTTTTAAGAAATGTTTTTTATTTTAGTATTTTTTTAATTATCATATTTTTTTTTTAAACCTATCAAATAATTCAAAGTTTATTAAATGATTAATATTTTATAATCAGAAAGTATATAATAAATGTTCGAATGTTAAGACATTCATAAAAGTATTTTTATCGTTGTAAAAAATTTACAAGATAATGTTAACCAATTTAAAATTGATAATCGACAAAAGCTAACCATATCTTATAAATATATATATACTTTTGACATATTTCTTTATGTGTGTGTGTGTGCGTGTGTGTATATATATATATATATATAAAACATACAATATATAAAAGATAAAAAATAAAGAAGAATGTCGATTATATTATAAGTTACTTAACACAAAATTTTAAAGTTTTTAAAATCAGATATGTTATATATATGGTTTATATATATATATATAAAATATTATCATTCCAGATAAGTTATATTAACTATTTAAACATTGTTAGTAATTGTAAATAGTGTATAAAATTATGCTTATTCAGTAAATTGTTGTAAAATCTCTGACAGTTTATTTGATCTTTTGTTATATGTTAACCAGATATTTGCCATATTTGCTTCCTTGTTAATGTTTGAAAAGTCCAATTTAAACAAGTTGTGTCTTTATTAAATGTGTATAAGAGCTATACGAATAAACTTATTTAATCAGTAAAATATATGGCTTTTTCCCCGTAATTACTATAAAAAAATATATATATATAAAATATTGTTTAATTGTAACTAAGATGATGGCATAATGATAAATGTTACATCCCAAAGAGTTGGATCAATTATTTTGTAATTGTACGAGAAATGATCCTGACTTTAGTAAGACTTAACATCAATTTATTTATAGAATATTATATTTTTTAATTCTTCTTTTAATTCAGTCTTCTGCTCAATAAAAATGCATGTTTACATTTACTGATATATTTACCTTCAATGTAGAATTTTAAAAAGGATTTATGCTATAAATAATGTAGTGAAATTCTAAATGATGTTCAAATTATTCTGTGATAAATTCTATAATTACTAAATGAATTAGAAGACTGTTCCTACATTGAATAAATTGTTTTAATAAAATAATTTTAACTTTAAGAAAACAAATCATATAATAATTCAATTTAGATAAGATGAGACAAGACGGTAGTTTCATATGCGTATCAATTAAGTTGTAAATTTTGTTTAATAACTTCATAATAAAGTTACGTTAAATGCAAAATTAAGCAGTTACTAAATCTTCTTCTTCCTACAAATTTTCTAATGTTAAATGAATGAAAAATTGATGAAGAATATTGATGACAAGGTTAACAAGTTTTCCTACTGAATACACATTATCATAGATAATGAAGCTTATAAATTTGCAATAATCATAAATTCAAAGTCAAAGCAGTATTGTTTTGTAATATCCAATACTGTACTACTAATCTATATTAATTAATTGTGTACATTTATATAACATTAAGTTCAATGTCATACACTTGTTATCTTTATTATGAATATAAACATACATTTAGAAATAAAGGAAACAAAAAAAAAAACATTTTTAATTAATGGAAAAACACTTTAAATTTTCTTTAACCTTATTGTTTCAATTAAATTATTATAAAACAGGACAATTAAATATTTCCTTGATCACTAATTAACAAGATTTTCATTGCAAATCTTCATACTTTTTCTGAATTATCAACATTTAATTACTTCAGATTTTTATTAATTTATAAAATATAAAAATAAACTCTGTTTTAATAATTTAATATCATTGTTTATAGTTATTTTAAATATAAGACATAGTAAATATTTGATAAAAATTTCCCATTCTGGATGGAAAGTTCTCTTGAAACAATTATGACATATCAGAATTAATTGAGTTGGAATGAGATCAATTATTTAAAGACGGGACATTCCCGTTTAAACGGGACAAACGTTATTTTTAACACGAATTTTTTTTTTTATTATCAGGGAAATATTTATGTTTATTTTATAATACAGTTTCTAAAACCACATGCTTCTCGTTAACGACTCTTAAACACGTGGTACTGATCAAAGGCATTATTTCCTTATAATTTAGCATACCATAATGTTTAAATTACAATAATTGAGTTAATGTATTAATAAGGAAATTTAATTATTGCTCCTAATTGAAATGTGTCTACACAATTTTTCTAAAATTCCTTTAAAAAAAAAACTATTTTTAAACCATATTTCCCTATTGTACGAAGCAAGTCAAGCAAAGATGTCACGTTGCTAAGTAGATCACTGTGTACAGTTAAAGCTAAACTTTAAATTGGTTCAGACGACCCAGTTTTTGAAATCCGGAATTAAATGTCAATGACCTTATCTTTTGTCTAAGTCTTTGCGAAAGTAAGTTTTTTTTTTTTTTTTTTTTTTACCTTAAAAATTCCTTAAAATCACGAAAGATTACAAATGTGTTGTAAGTTACTAACGATGCTTTGAGCAAATCACGTGTATACAATGGGCGAGAAGTGTGGGCTAAAAACATAAGTTCACTTTTGTTATAGCCTTATATTGCATCTAACCTCACTGACTCACTAACCTCAAGACTTTAAGTACATCCTGTTTATCAGAATTCCAAAAAACTGGTTCCGAGTTAATTCACGATAAGTTGCTGCTGCTATCGTACGTGCGTGTTTTACATTCGAAATTATTCGTTTAGGCTACTGAAAACTGTTCATATTTTAATAAATTAAACGTGTTCGAATGATTTAAATTAATAGAAAGTGATATCTATTTGGAATTTTACAACGTTGCATTGATTAGACGTTAAAATTTTAATTGGTATGGTGACACTTCTAATTGTTTCTAGTATTGTCAGGTTGTAGGAGACAAAAATCCTGTATTAGAAAAGTACTGTAAGTAAAAACAATGAAAGTATATTGTCAGTCTTTGTTAACAATTGTGATAATTTACAGGTGATGTCTGTTGAAAATGATCCAACAAACTGCCCCCTAAATCCCTTTTCATACTATGCCAATGACAAAAGTGATTGTGTACGTGGCGAGGAACACGTGGTCATCTCTTCTGTCAATATTCACTCGATCCACTTCGTTAATATTCTATTCATTATTTTAAAAAATTCATTATATAAAATTTTAAAGCTGAAATAAATTACAAAGACTGCGAAATTTATATTTCTCAGACGACAGATACGACACAGAACTAGAAGAATCTAAGCCAATAAAATTAAAAACGAAGTTAAGATTAATTAATAAAATAAACGATTACTATTAATTTAGTTTTTGAATAAAAATCTCTTTAGAAAACTTTCTCTTATCTCCGAGAAAAAGTTAATAATAAAAAGGACTAGGAATAAAGACGAATCGCGCACGACGTGTCTAATGAATTGTTTAGCCTCAGGCATTTATAAGTTGACCTAGCAGGAACTCGAGGAGGAGGAGGAGGAGGCACTGACTGGGAAAACACAGCTTTCGAGTTGTTTCTTGCTTGCTTGCTTACTTTGATGCGCCATCGTTACAAGAAAGACAGAAATGTATTTTCGGCCATGGAGATAAAAGGTAAATTTTTATTTTGTTCGATTACCGAATACAGTAATCGACACCGTTTCGACATCCGTACATAGTTTTATTCGTTGTGTAGAAGATTAATTAAATTTTATATATATCAATCTTAACGGATGCCATCCAGGATTAACATATCAGTTCGAACGTTTTATAAAAGTTGGTCAATTAAATGACGTCATAGTTAGGTATTTCGCATGGTTGATTATAGAGAAGATATTTAAATAAACACTTCCTGATATACTTACTGTCAGAAGTTCAAGGCTTTTTGTTATTGCTAAACATAGGAAGAGCTCTATCACCACTTTGTTTTTTTTTCTATTGTATTGTAAGCTTACATTTAAGCTTAAAAATCATATTTTAAGCTTTCCTAAGTTTATATAGTGAACAATTATTTGAGAAAATAACTGAAATTCAATTCCTTCACACAATTTTTAGTTTGTTATGTGGGTTCATTGGTATAAATTAAGTGGATATTCATCTGTTTTACATTAGAATTACATAAGGTAGCGTATGATTTTTTTTTATACTGTAACTTCTTTACGTATTAGACTATTTATTTCTGTAATTATCTAATTTAATAAATGCAAATATATATTTATGCACTAGATTTTTATTATTATTTTAATTGCTTATTTGCAAGTGTTCATTTATCATAGTTTAAGTTGCTGATTTTTAATTATTAGATCGAAGAGAAGAATGTGAATCATTCACTTAATTTTAGCTAAAATTTGAAACGATACGGTCCAATGATCAGCAATAATAATAATAATAATAATTAAGACAAAAGGTTCGGGCTGACTAATCCTTCCAGTAACGAATTATTTAAGGATGAACGTGTTCATTGTCTGACCATCTAATTATCTATTTTATTGGTATTGTTATAAAGTAATGTTTTTAGAAAAATTCCCACGAGTGAAATAACACGTACTGTACTACCCCCACATACTTTTGTTTGGAGAAAATTATAATGAATAATCATTATTTACTATGGTAAACATCATTAAAGCTTAATCACGATTCGAACAAATCTGTTTTTAAAAGAATAAACAAATATTTTTAGGGTCTTCCATTGCTTCGAAATAGGTCTTTCTGTAAATGTACTGTACTAAATTTCACTTCGACTTCTGACTCCCTTCTTGCCCTTTCGACCTGCTTTTCCTTTCTTTAGTCTTTTGCATGGTCGCTTTCTTTTCTGACAATTATAATTTTCGGTATATCAAATGCAAATATTAGCGGTCGTAAAACACAAATTAAATGCTAAATTATATTGTTTTTAAATGCATGTGTCACTCAGGAATTTTAGAAATGTGCTCCTCTAATTATTTTTAATTGTTTTATTGTTTTGCTCTATCGTTTTAAGTTGTAATTATAGGGGGGAAAAATAAATTAAAATGGCAAAATTTTAAGGAATTTTAGGTGATATTTTTCTGCTTTAAGATCACGTAATTCTTCAAACTCCGGAAATGACTCC